AGCTGATGGGATCATTTGTTAGAATTGTTTCAATGTTCATTGAAGATTTGATGTGTTCATTTGAAAAGCTGGTGGCTGCATGAAAGGTAAAGTGGCTCACTTTTATTATTATTCCAACAGCGCTGGTCTGAGTTGTGACCACAGCTGGTTTCTGAACAAGAACACAACAGATTATCTATGCTATGCTAATCTTAAAGTTTGTGTWTGTGGAGTAAAGTAGGCTAACCTTCTATTCCAGACTGCAGTGATAACTGGGCCACATTTTTTACTTTTTTACTTGACTTTTTCCTTAATTACAAGAGCAGTTTTTCCACTGAAAATGTCTTTTGTGGAAGCAGGAATTATTATTTTCTGTAGTGCAGGAGTTACTCTCACACAAGGTTGTATTAAACATCTTTTACTCAACAGCATTGGTGGAGTGCAATGTGAATAGAGAGACACAAAAGCACATTCTCTCATGGAAAACAAGATAAAGAGCCTTTTTTGCTAATTTCACTACATCCAGTTCAGGGTTGCAGGACAGATTTCCTTTAAAATCATGTGAGTACACAGTGAGCAGGTCATCAGACGACCTAACAGAGACAAAACTGAACAAGCAAGCCCAGAATATCATAATCAGAAAACCGATAGGATCAGACTGTGGCTAAATCTGTTTGATTTAACCTAGAAAATGTACGATATCAGGACAAAAACAGAGGGAAATTAATATTTTAATAATGGCATATTGTATTTTCCTGAATTGTTCTTTCAGACAAATGAAGCATAGCTATATAGCTATGCTTCATTTGTCTGAAAGAACACTTATGTGTTTGTAGCTGGGTTGGCTGATAATGAAGCAGATGTTTGTCCATAAAGGAAAATTATTAAGAGTTTAAATTCAAACCGGGTAATAAAATGGGGGGGGGGGGGGGGGTGGACGTCTGAGAGGAAGTTTAAATTCGAGGGCATTTCCCCAAAACTCTGATTTTATTTTATTTACAGTCTGCTAATATTTTGTCTTCAGGCTGAGTCTTTTCTTTATTTTAGCCTTTTGAAATTTTCCAGTTTCCATGTATAGTACATTTCTCTGTGGCAACTTTTATTCTATATTTATCCGTGCGTATCTGTGCTGTGTGACCCTTCGCCTCATCATCATCCACATCACTAACATTTGATAAACAAGTCTATTTAATTAGTCAATTTGTCCTGCTTGACTTATTTGACCRTCGCCTTGAGGGCAGCAGGAAACAATAATGTTCCTGTACTGGGCCCAAGAGGCTGAGCTGTGACATCTCTCTGAATGTTCGCTGGTCAAACTAGTTTGTATGTTGAATGTCACGTCACGTGTTGTCCAGGCAATTTCTGTAAAAAATAAAGCTCTTCTTTGAGTTTTTGTGAAGCAGAAATATCTTTTATTGCTTTTCTTAATTTAACACATCAAAAACAGAAGCTAAATTTTTGTGTTTTTAGGCACAAAACAAGAAAAAAGTACATTTTGTCATTTTATATATAAAAAAAAAATTTTTGTGTTTTTAGGCACAAAACAAGAAAAAAGTACATTTTGTCATTTTATATATAAAAAAAAATCTGTGGTTTTTGGTTTGATCCGTCTGTCTGTTTTCTTCTGCTTATCCAGAGTCGGGTCACGGGGGCAGCAGCCTAAGCAAAGAGACCCAGACTTCCCTCTCCCCAGCCCCTTATTGGGCCAGCTCATCCAGGGGAATCCCAAGGCGTTCCCAGGCCAGTCGAGGAACATAGTCCCTCCAGCGTGTCCTGGGTCTTCCTCCGGGTCTCCTCCCAGTGGGACGTGCCCGGAGCACCTCACCAGGAAGGCATCCAGGAGGCATCCTAACCAAATGCCCGAGACACCTCAATTGGCTCCTCTCAACGTGGAGGAGCAGCGGCTCTACTCTGAGTCCCTCCTGGATGACTGAGCTTCTCACCCTATCTCTAAGGGAGAGCCCAGACACCCTGCGAAGGAAACTCATTTCGGCCGTTTGTATGTTTGTATCCGCGATCTCGTTCTTTCGGTCACTACCCAAAGCTCGTGACCATAGATGAGGGTAGGAACGTAGACCGACCGGTAAACCGAGAGCTTTGCCTTCTGGCTCAGCTTCCACTTCACCACAACAGACCGGTACAGCGCCCGCATCACTGCAGACGCAGCACCGAGCCACCTGTCGATCTTCTGCTCCATTCTTCCCTCATTCGTGAACAAGACCCCGAGACACTTGAACTCCTCCACTTGGGGCAGGACCTCCTCCCTGACCCAGAAGGGGCACCCTACCCTTTTCCGGGTCAAGACCATGGTCTCGGATTTGGAGGCACTGATCCTCATCCCGGCCGCGCCACACTCGCCTGTGAACCACTCCAGTGAGAGCTGGAGATCACGATCTGATGAAGCCAATAGGACCACACCATCCGCAAAAAGCAGAGATGTGATCCTAAGGTCACCAAATCGGATCCCCTCAACACCTTGGCTGCGCCTAGAAATTCTGTCTATAAAAGCTATGAACAGAATCGTGACAAAGGTGTTATAGTTTTAGGTCAAGTTTTAGTTTTGTTTTTGTTTTTATCTCATMTCATGTGTTTTTAGCAGCTCTTTTCCTCAGCCTTGTCACAGCCCTGCTCCCCCTCCCTTCACAGATCCTCAGGTAATCAGCTCATGCAACTCACCTGTGTCCCTCTGTATTTAAGCCAGCAGTTTCCCTCAGCACTCTGCCAGTTTATCATCAGCCAGTCTATGATTCACCAGCAMTCTTGTCCCATGTCTTGTTCTGATCTCGGCTCCTCGACCCCRTTCTCGTCCCTTGGATTACCGCCTCTTGCCTCAGCCCGTGTCAGATACCTTCTGCCATCTGCTCTTCTGGTAATGACCCTGTTTCTGTTTCTCGGACTCCTGCCCCTCGTCTCTCCCTTGATCGGCACCACGACACCTCAGACTTCCTGGTTCTCGATCCCTGCCTGCCTCTCGGATTCAAGAGTTAAGTTTGCTCCTCTTAATCTGTCGTATTCTCTGATCCCTCTGTGTATGACCCTCGTCTGTCCCTGGACCCCGGACCCYTTTCTCGGACCCGCAACGCTCCCAAGGATTGTCGGTGACGTCATTGTGTTTTCTCTGGAACCAAATTMACACAGTRGGTGTTTCTACACYGAGGCTCCCAGTTGACACCAGGCTAGTGGCTAAAAATACTAGTAGTATTTTGTCCCAGAGTCTTACAGCCACTAACCTGTTTTTTTTTCTGTGTCCAGAAAACCGGACCCACGCACCTGGGTTGTTCCAGCTCCACACCAGCAATTTTAATAAAATTTGTAAACCTTTATCTGTTTTCGGGTTTTTATCAGAGCTTAAACTCGGATTCTTAACAAAAGGCTAACCTTGGCGGAGACCAACTCTCACCGGAAATGAGTCCAACTTACTGCCGGCAATGAGGACCAAACTCTGGCACCAGTCGTACAGGGACCTAACAGCCCGTATTAATGGGCCTGGRACACCATACTCCCGGAGTACCGCCCACTGGACTCCCCAAAGGACACAGTCATACGCCTTTTCCAAGTCCACAAAACACATGTAGACTGGTTGGGCGAACATCTTTGAACCCTCCAGGACCCTGCTGAGGGAGTACAGCTGGTCTGCTGTTCCACCACCAGTACGAAAACCACACTTCGGAACTGTGTGTAGTTGATCAACCGGTATTTAATGAGATTTTTATTTTGAAATATTCAATTACCAGTGTTGGGCATGGTTCAGCTAATGAGCTATAAATTAATAGCGGGAAAAAACCTTCGGTTAGCGGATTTGCCTTTTCTCTAACTTTGGAAACTGTTAGCAGACCAATTAGCTTCCACTAAATTTAGTTTTGCCTTAAGTCCACTAACAGTTAACTGACAAGCTAACATTAACAGGTTTGTGTCAGTCCCACCAGTCGTCAGGTGGAAAGAGACAAAGACATGTGACACAGACTGAGCGACAGTCAACTTAGTAGTTAGTGGTTAGTGTTAGCTTCTAATTTTTTTCACATGTTCAATGGTTTAGCCTTAGCAATGCTAAATTTTTAGTTTGGAGGGTTATGAGTTTGCAAAGGTAAGTTTTTGTTAGCTGAGCTTATGATTGCCAAGCGCCAACTCAGCTCTCAATATGGGACAGTTCAGCCATGGATATATGCAATAAATTACTATCTGAAACATATTTCAGATATCAACAATTAAATTATGACTAGTCATAAAGCAAATTAAAGATACCTCATTTTTGTCATAATCCCATCCCATCTGTCTTAAATGACGTCAGGTTTGTAGGGACAGTAAATATTGGTGTTCTTGACATTATTTTTTTTATACCAAATCCGATATTAAAACTTGTATTGTATCCATCAAAATTAGGAGCTATATTGTGATATAAATTTTAGCCATTTTGTCCAGCTCTATTTACAACTCTCACCACCCTCCTCCTGACATATTGTTTACACGGGGGGYAAATAAAATTTGTAAAAAAAAACACCATTTTTATTTGGAAAGTACAGACCTTGTACATTTGGTTAGCTGCATTTTGGCGTAATGATAGAAATACAGTAACTGGTGTACAGAGCGAGTAAGAGTTGTTGATTCTGACACAGGCCTAGTTATAAATCTAATATAACCTTTTTAATAATAAAAAAATGTGAGCTGCATCTATCAAGAAAAAACATCAAGGTGTAGGAGTTTGTAGCTTGAGAAAATAAAACTTACTTTAATAACTTGTTCATTCTCACATGCTATACAGCCACTTTAAAAAGTCACTTATATATGTTTTATTTTTTATACTGTATCTGTTTCTGTTACTTTTTGTCCTTGAATCAGTTCACAGACACGTCTGGGAACAATCATCTGCAGACAGGTCTCTGTCACTCTACCAATTTATGCTAAAAGCAAATATTTTCTTCCTCCAGGCAGATTTTTTGCATCTTTTCATCCAAAAAAAAGAAAAGAAAAAAAGCATGAAACACTGCTAAGAGTTTACTTCTGTTTTTTTTTTCTTCCCTCAGTGAGCAGCGCCTGGCAAACTTTATCTGACAGAATCCACGAGGAGGAAAGTTTCACAGATCTGTTCCTGAATCGCCTGGAAGGTGACAACCAAAGTAAGAGTTGTGTACTTACTGAAGAGCTGACACAAAAAGAAGGAAATTACCATAAAATGCAGAGAAACTTGACATGTGAGGAGCAGAATGAAGCCCGATGGGACTTGACTCAATCTGGTTTAGCTGAAAATTCAAAGTGGCACAGAAACAGTCTGGCAGAAAATATGTGAATTTTGATCAAAAGACAGGTTTGAACTAATGATTGTGGGTTTTTTGGGGGGTGAAATGTCAATTTATGTATATTATATATTTATACTTAGATGAATTCCTGTAGAGGTTCATCTTGTTGGATTTAGTCTTCACTGTAAGAAATGTTTGATTGTCCCGTTCTGTCCAGTTTTGTGAAATGATTGTTGGTTCGGCTTTTAAACAGATTCTTGTTTAGAAACAAAATTTTATGAAAATTTAACGTTTTGTGCCAAATAACTGATTTGTTTCTGTTACATGGTGTAACAAGTTAGACAACCTAAAGGCATTATTATATTGGTAATAAGTGTATTTTTTTATTTTTTTGTTCATTAAATTAAACTAGCTTCAGTATTGTGGTTTCAACGCCATTAAAGTTGGACGACCATGTAATTGCTTGACTGTTTGTGTTCATTTGGTTGCCTGGCAGCAAAAACTCTCTTCAGTCAGCTGACAAATTTTAATGAAACTCCAAAATTAATCACTGGACCCACTTTAACAATGATTTGATTCAAAATATTCATCACGACTATACAATCTTAACAATTACAGACATTAACTTTAACTTTAATTTGTTATGGATACTAAGCTAAAATCTAGTGAGGTATAACTGGAATAAACCATTATTTCTGCAGCCTGTATCTCACTGAGCTGTGGCTGTTTGTGACAAACTGCAAAAAGATTTGAAAATAAATTTACTAAATACCTCAAAATGTTCTTGGCTGTTCTCAATTTCCATGTGTGAGTCACCCCCAATTCGGTCCGACCTCCGCAGCAAATACGCAACCATTCTAACCAATGAGACTATTTACACTGGCTCCGCATGGTGGCGGTGAGCGGACGGCAATCTGCCAAAATTAGATTTGATCCTATTTTTGCCAGACACCAGAGCTGCCTCAGAGTCAATCTACAGAGATCACATCGCACCAACAGGAAAACGAACAAGCACAACATCTGTATTTTCAGAGTAAGATACCATAAGACAGACTAATTTTGTGGAAATCCCTGCTACTGTATATTAATCAATGTATGGATATATTTCTACACATATGCTGTCAGAATGTATCGTTCTGTTTGGGAAGCAGATGGCAACGTGTAGCGTGAAGCATGTGTGTACACACACGATACACGTGGATTTTATTTTGAAATCAGAAGTTTTAAAAGGATGACAGTGATACAGTTTCAACCATAGACATCAAAAGCCTTCATATCGATGTTTTCAGCTGTGTTTAGAGTTCGTCTTTCACAGAATTCTTTATTTTTTGCTCTGACTTCCACATTTATTACTGGATTTATCACATGATCTCCTTCCTGCACACGCTCCCTCCTCTGTGTGTCGCACCYGAGCGGAGGCTGRWTAAATTGGGTTGCAAACGAACAGCTGCGAACTGCGCACCACAGCGCAGCAGAGCGGAGTCGGATCTAGTGTAAATCCGGGGTCCCTCTCACTCCCATAAAAAAAAACTTGCTCAGAATAATCACAGAGTGTCTGGAACTCATCCCAGAATCCTCTCAGTTTAGTTTCTATGAGTTCGAAGTAGCGAGAAATGTAAGACAAACTGTGACCAAGTGAAGACAGAAAAAGACCAAATTAAGACACGGTTGACTTATTTAGGACACTTTGTGACTAAATTGAAACTAATAAATCTGTACGCTGTTCACATCTATATGCAAACATGTTAGAAGTTTTAATCCAGTTGCTCTGTTGTTGCCCCACAGAAATCATTTTTTGTATTTTTGAGATTTGCTCTGTTGTGTATTTGTTCTAAATTGTGTGTTATATGATATTCAAACTTGGGTTGCAGTTACCTCTTGTGATTTTGAGTCGCCGTGCCCTTGGACTCACAGCGACTGGACGGTGGCGTCACCGCAGGAACTGAAGATCAGGAAGGCTGGACTGACGCCTGCGATGGATCACTCTGTGGGKAGAGCTGACGGTAAGATGGGCTTTAAAGTGTCCCTGACATGAAATTTTTAAAATAAATATGAAGYCGTTATTGGAAAGATAACTTTATTAGCATAATTCAAATATAATTTCACGCTACTGAGATGAACAGTTGTTGAGATATTTGCATGTGAAGAAACAGGAAGTGATGTCAAAGGGGAATGTCTGCATGGAACAGAGCGTTGGTAAAATAGCTAATAACAGACTGTAGAGAAGAATCTGATGTTTCTTTAGATTATTTTGAGTCACTATCAGAGATAGATGAAGAAGAGTCAGAGTTCAAATAATATTGTTTCAGTAAACAAAAATTACAGAGTTCTCTTTGTTAAAGGGTTCCCCTTTGATGTCACTTCCTGTTTCACTTTGGCCGAACCAAGTTCAAAAGAAAATATGCCATTTATGTGACAAAATGAGTCAAATCACGTTTTATGCAAGGTTTCTTATATAAAAACATTTTTTTCCTTGACATTTTGTATTTGATGAATAGGCACGTCACAGGCACTTTAAAACATCTGTTTGAGTCAGTTTCACCTGAACTGAAGGCGCTTTAAGACCATCAAGCTTGACATGTCTTTGTTTTTCTTTCCTCAGGACACTTTCTCCTCCTCAGCTCCCCACCTGCTGGGAAGTGTGAGCATGAAATAACCAGTCCAGACATGCCTGGAAGCAACAGGCGGTGCCTCTTACAGGTGGCTGTGTATGAGGCCGGGCCACCGGCGGGAAACCTCACCGTCCAGATCCATCTCGCTCTGTCAAACATAACTGTCCGCTCTGAGGTTTTGAGCCATGCCAGACCAGAGGAACACAGGTCAGAAAACACTGAAACTTTGTGCCTCTGCACCGTTATCTTTTTAGCTTCTTATCAAATGTGCTGCAAAGACTTTCAAAAATAAAAACCCGCCTTTCTTACCAGCCACCGGGTTTGTTGATCTGAAATTTTTCCCGTAAGATAAACAGCAGGGAGCTCAGATCCAAGAGCAGACAGACAGAGCAAGGACAATTAGGCTGATACATTTTACTTACAACAAAGTTAAATAAGGAAGATTTAAGATGCGAGGAGGGGGCAGAAGCCTAAGTATTGTTTGGGAACTGCGGTCTGGTATTTCCTATTGATCAAATGCTGCAGCGCGGCCATTTTTACAAGAGCTAAAAGCGTTCCTGTTTCTAAATGTAGGCCGGAGATTCATTTAGATGTAATTGGTGAGGACAGGAGAGGGATGGATGGGCATGTGCAATAAGTTGGTGCATTTGCTTTGTTAGCGTGCTCAGTAATGGCTCCTGCAATTTCATTATGAGGTGCACACACACAGGGTTTCCATTTATTCCATTCGTCATTCATACCATACAAACCCGGAYACGTCATTTCCAGATAAACTCCTAAAGTGCACGGTTGTGACTAATCTTTGACTGTGACACTTGGTGTGTTGGGACGTATCCGTTGGAGCAATTAACTGTGTTAATCAGAGATTTAARAGGAAGAAAGGGTTTAATGGTTATGGAAATTACCAGTCTGCCCTAACATAGTGTATCACAAAGGAGCCAATAAAGACAAAACTCTGGAGGCAGAACAATGTAAAAAAAACTCATACATTTTCATTAATGAAGCAAAAGCAGAAAGGCAGATTGTCCATTATTAAAAATCCAAGAATGTGAAAAGAGTACAAGGCGTGGAGGAACGCATAAAGATCTTAAATCAGGAAATGAAACCGGATAGATGATTTAGTGAGACGCAGTGATCAGAAAACTAGAAACAGATGTGAGGAGAGAAAAAACACACGACTAAAGCCAGATTTGGTAAAGAAAATCTTTTGCTTTGTCACTTTTACAACTTCCATCAAACATCAAACAGTTTCAGAAAACTGTGTAGAATTGATGTGACTGATTTATTTTTTGCATCCATTGGAGCAGTTTTATTTTTATCTCCTTTCTTTAGAGTCTGACTCCAATAAGAGCATCAAGGTCAGCTCTCATCGTTGGATATTTGTTTGTGATGCAAGAATTTGTGCAGTTAGACGTCTGTTCCACACAGTGACACTGGTCATCCATCCATCCATCCATCCATCCATCCATCCATCCATCCATCCATCCATCCATCCATCCATTCTAGGGATGCAGCTAACGATTATTTTAATAATCGATTAATCGGTTGATTATTTTTTCGATTAATCGGCCAAATCATTAAAACGCTTAATTACATGAATATGAGTATATATAAATTAAGTTAACTCCTTAAGGATGCAAGTTATTGATAATGAATTAATTTGAAGTTGATTTACTGCATCTTATAGATTGATTAACAATTAATTAATAAGCAGCCATTTTTTTAAACCGGAGTTTTCTCTTGCATCAAGAGGGTCTTCCCATTAAATGAAGGATTTTTATAATCTGAATTAAAAAACAGAAGCACATAATACATATTTTAA